GATGTTCTAGGGTTTCAGGATTGTTGATTCTCTGTTTGGCTTAGTTTTTCGGATCTTTGTTGTGGAGGGACGGCGTGGTGCTTCTGCCTAGAGCGCCATCTTTCCGGAGTCTCCTCAGTCTGGTCTTCTTTTGTGAGTTAGAATTTTGTTCTACATTTTTCTCCAGCTCTGTCCGGGACCCTCTATTGTGATCCCTGTCAAAGCAGTCAATGGTGGTAGCCGGGCACCATCTAGTTGTCCTGGACTCAGTCTGGTGGAGACTGTGGTTGTGGAGTTTCTTACAGTTAACCATACGCCTACCTTATGACCCAATCCTTCCACTCCTAGTTACTTACTCAGAAGAAAGGAAAGCAAATGCACATAAAGAGACTCACCTGAGGAGGCTTGCATCAGCCTTCATTATAACACCCCACATCAGAAGAAGGGAGAAAGAACTTGCTAGCGATTCCTACACTGGGTTACCACCAGCAGTGAAACTGGGGAGGGGCAGTGGGGACTACTGACATTGGCAATGACTTGGGTGCATCTCAAAACCATACTGCTGAGTATTAGAAGCCAGAGACAAGAGTGTGGTAGTGTGTGAGTCCATTGACGTGAAATGCAAGAGCGGCCGAGAGTAATCCGTAGCCAGCGAAATTCAAAGGGTGGGGTTGCTTCCAGGGAGGTAGCATTGACTGAGGAGGGGCTCCAGGGAACTTCCAGGGAAGATGTAAATGTTCCGTAACTTGACAGGAGCGGGGTTGGTCCCGTAGGTGTAAGCAACTGTCCAAACTCATTGAACTCTACGCTTGGACACAGATGCCAGGGAAGACGGCTGGCAGCTTTGAGACTGTATGATGGAGCACATGGGGTTCCTGACATCTCCCGCACCAGCACTAGAAACCACCCCCCACCCTATCCCCCTCCCCGTACCTTGTTGCCCTGGGCGTGTCCAGGGCCCCGCTGGCCCTCCCCCTCCCCCTGCAGCCCCACCATCGGAGCTCTCCCCAGGGCCCCTCAGACCAGTCAGCAATGACAGTGTGACCACAGCCCCCAGTCCCCGGCCAGCCTGAGCATTTGCTTTCCCAAGTGCCTCGCTCACCCTGGCTCCTGGGCTGCTGTGGGGGCTCTGTCTTTCCTCTGCAGCTTCAGAGGGGCTGGAGGACGCCTGTGGGCACAGACGGAGCCTGGCCACAGGGACAACCCCGTGTCAGGCTCAACAGTGCTTCCCCCTCACACATGCAAGGGCCCGTTGCTGCTCCCTTCTCCCAAAGGTCCCAGTCCGCTCCAGGGGGCTGAGGGCTGCCATCCCCCGGGGAGGTTCCCAGCCCCGGGGATGAGAGGGCATGTCTCGGAGGTTGGAGCCGGCTGCTGATCCAGCTCCTCATCCCTCACCATGCCCCCCAGAACTGCCCCTCACTCGGGCCACTGTGCCCCAGAGGGCCCTCCACCTGGGGGCTCCTCAGGGTGGCACCGAGGGTTCAGCGGGCCTCGGGGAAAAAGCCTGGCCCCTGGCAGCCAGGGGCTGCCCCCACCCACTGCCTGATGCCTCCTGCTTGGTCCCAAGGGCTGGGAGGATGCTCCTCAGAGCTGGCCGGGCAGGGGGTCCCCTACCCTCCAGGGCACCCCAGGCAGGACTCAGGGCACAGGGCAGCTGCCCCTGCCTTTCCACCAGGTCTGAGGAAGCCTGGCCTGTCCCGCGGGTCAGTGGGCATCACACACTCCCAGGTCCCCAGTGGTCCCTCAGCTGCAGCTGTCAGCTGAACACAGGCCACCGCCACCACCCCCAGCAGGCCCTCCCCTCCATTGCCCACAGCAGAGGCCAGACTCAGCAGAAACACTCAACAAGATTTATTGAAGAGAAACACTTAACTGGAACCGTTGAAGGGAAGGGAATCACAACAGAGGGAATCTATAACCACCACCAGAGACCACGGGGCTTCCCTCCTTCCAGGGGCCTTAACGAGGAGCCTCAGCACCCACCACCCCCCGCCCCAATGCGGCCCCCTCCACCTCTCCCTGCCCGGGGGACCCAGGCTCTGCCTCCTGTCAGGAAGATGGACTCTGGCAACATGCACTTATTTTGGGGGACCCCTCCCTGGCCTACCCACTGGGACGTGGCCCTGCCCCATAGACCCACGGAAGAGTCACAGAAGAACACTGGAAAACACAGCAGAGCACACATCACCACGTCAAGGAAACTGAGTCACAGACAACAGCTGGGATGGAGCTTCAAGCACAGTCCTCACGGGGCTCCCCGCAGCCAGCCCAGTTCCTGGTCTGTTTTTCCTTCCCGAGGCCACTTGCGGGGTGAGGGTGGCGACTTTCCCGTCCAACCTTCCCGCTGTCTTCCAGGACTGGGCCGGGGTCTCTGGGGGAGAAACTGCTCTGATAAGAACACACACACCTCCACAAGAACAAGCAACAGTTGGCCAGAATCTCCGCCGGGAAAGCAGAGGCTGAGCCCCCGACCGAGCGGACAGGAGCCACCCAGCCTCGGCGGGCAATGGCACACGGTGCAGGCCCAAGAGGTCACCCAGCATGAGGGCCAGAACCTCCGCCCCCTGGCTGCTGCACACCTCAGGGTTCTTCACAGGAAGGGTGGGTGGTTGGGTGACTGGTGTAGAAATGGGTGTTTCCCTGACGCGTGGGTAAGTACAGGGCCTAGTGAGATATGGGAGGTCTTCCCAGAAGAGGGAGCAGCCCACCCCAAGGGGTGGCGAAGGGTGTCCCCCTCTTGGGAGACCAGACAGCTGGCCCCCTGGAGTTGACTGCCTCCCCCTAACGTCTCCCAGACCAGGGCAGTGGTCTGGGTGTGGGCTGAGTGGTGAAGATGTTGGGGGTCTGGTTGACCAGGCGAGTCCCAGGTTCTCCTCGCCCGTTCGCTCCAATCTCCAGTGGCCCTGCACAAACACAAGCAGAACACAACAACCCTCCCAAGCCCCCTTCTTCCTCCTCCTGCCCAAAGCTGCCCTCACACCCACTGGCATGAAGCCAGCTGTGGGATCACTGGCCCCCCAGGCCCCCAGAACCCCCTGTGCCTGAGCCGGGCTCTGGCCTCGTGGTCCCTTCCCGACAGTCTGTGCTCCTTGCCACACCCTCCAGGCTGCAGGCCAGGAGAGCAGTGGCCGGCACTGGGCTCTGGGCCGGGGTGTCTGCTGCCCTCAGGGGCTCCAGGGTGCTGCCTTCCTGGGGCTCCCCTAGGGCAGTGTAGATGATCCTGAACACAGGGTGGACCCTGCGGTCTCTTCTCCGGGGCATCACCTCTCGGCTGTGCTGCTCTCCCTCTCTGGCCCTGGCTCCTGGTGGCAGGGGTGGTCCCGCCCCGGGCTGGGGTGGCCCCGAGGAAGGCTCCTCTAGGCCGCTTGTGGCCTGGGGACCTGTAGTCATCCTCAGCTCAGAGTCCACAGGGTGGGTGTTAGGGGGTGGCCGGAAGAAGGGGCCGAGTCCCAGTCCTGAGCCCCCAGCTGCACCCTCTTCAGCCCCAGGGTTGGGCTCCCCGCCGGAGGCTGTGGCCCCGCACCTGCTGGGCAGTCTCTGGCTCCTCCTCCTCCTCCTCTGTGCCCTACTCCCAGGCCTCCTCCTTCTCCTCCTCCTCTGTGCCCTGCCCCGGGGCCTCCCAGAATTAGGTGTGGTTTGATCAACAGAGTCCCTTCTCGCTGGCACTGGGGAAGGGGGCTTGGCCCTGGCTCCACTGTGGCCCCCTGCTGTCTGCCTGGGGCTCCCCTTCGCCTTCTTCCAAAGTCTCTTTTGTCTCTTCGGCCTGTGTTGGCGAGATGTGCCTTGGTCTCCTGAGCCTACTTGGGCTTGGGCTTGGGCTGGCCCTGGTCCCAAGCCCAGCTCCCGTTTACCGACTCCGCGGTAGCCTGTCTCTTCTGCTTGACCAGGGGCCGGTTCTGGGGATAGCTACACTTCACTCTGATGTGGCCATCCTCCCCGCAGCCATAGCACAACGTGTGGAATCTCCTTTCCTCTGCCCCGCAGGCACCGGGAGCCCTGGGCGGGCCTCACCTGGGCAGGGTCCCCACTGTCTGCAGGCTCCTTGGGCCTCTCAGGCCCCACAACGGCCTCCCACTCCTCCTCCCGCAGGAGCTTGACCAGGGTCAGGAAGCCGGGAGGCCTCTGCCGCTGTTTCATCAGCCTCAGTCTGTCTCAGAGTTTGTCAGGAAGTGTGGCCCTGCCTAGGACTTGCTTCAGGCGAGCCTGGTTGACATTCCTTCGGGAGATGGCATTTTTTTCTACAGCTCTTTGGAGCAGGGGTTCCAAACAGACCACAAAGCTAGACACCTTCTCTCCTATCTCGTGGCGGGCCTTGCAAAACTTCACCTGGGTGACTTTGCGGCTCTCCACAGGCCCCAACACTTGCTGCAGCACCGCCAGGCAGTCCGCCGTGGTGACGGCCCAGTTGCTGGCCCGCAGCCCGCTGAGCACCTGCAGCGCGGGGCCCCCGCAAGCATTCCATCAGCCGCCGCCTCTTTTCCCCCTCAGGCACCTGCCACATCTGAAGCACGTCGGTGGTGTGCTCCAGCCAGGCCTCAAAGGCCAGCGCCCCTGGGATGGACACGCTGTGCCCAGAGAACACGCGGAGCTCGCGGTACAGCATTTGCTCTAGAATCCAGGGGAGACAGCCACTCCAGGGGCCGGGCAGGCGGGGTTCATGTCAGCCACTGAGCGCCTCTCCTCCTCTAGGAAACCGTTCAGTCGGTTGAGGAATTCGCCGTCTGAGTTGCGGGGCTTCACAATCACTTCCCAGGGCCCCCCCTTTGCTGGTATTTCCCTGGGGAGCAGCGCATAGTCGATGTCTCGCGCCAGCTCCAGGAGGAACGCCTGGGCATTCTCCTCCCTCGTAAACATCCTGCCAACGACCCGATGCTTGCCCAGGTGCCGGAGTGCCGCCTGCAGCGTCTCCTCCAGCGGCGCCTCGCTACAGTCCTCGGGGATGCCCAGGATGAGCATGGCCTTCTGGATGTCCAGGTGCTCCCCCGGGCACCAGTCCTGCAGCAGGGCCACCGGCATGTCTCCACCTCCCTGGTTTGGGCCTCGGCTGATCAGTGCGGGATGCGCTTAATCTGGGCCAACTCCCAGAGGCCCGGCTCCGCGGCCTGGGAACGCGACCGGGAGAGCTGGTCAGTGCCACCCCAGCCCCTCCCCGGCCACCCCCCTTCCTTTCTGCACGGCCGCCGCGTCCCCCAGGGGCGGAGGACGTGGGGCCACCGAGGCCAGAACCCCCTCCTCCGTCTCGTACCTTCTCTGGGCTGCGCCTTCCCGGCAGGAGGGACGCGGGGGCGGCGCGGTCTTGCTCGGTCGGTGGGTCTGTCGGCCCTGCGACCCTCTCGGGTCCGGCCCGCCGCAGCGTGGCACGTGGCCCCCGCGCCTGCTCGCCGCGGTCTCTGCAGTGCAGAC